TCCTGAAGGCAGTGTTCCACTCTCTCAGTAGCCTCCTAGTTCATCCAGGGCTTCTGGTTGGGGTAGGCCCTGATGCGTTTGTCTACGGTAACAGTGTCTATGCAGCTCTTAATATTATGCAGGACACTGTCTGTGAACACCTCCAGGTCTGGATGCTCAAAAACATCCCAGTTGGTCCTATCAAAACAGTCCTGTAGCTGCTGAGAGGCACCATCAGGGCAAGTTTTTACAGTCCTTCTGATGGTAGGAGCAGTTTTCCTGAGGAGGGCATATGCAGGAATTAGAAACAGGGACAAGTGGTCAGACTGGCCCAGGTGTGGTAGTAGTCTGGCCCTATAGCCTAGCTTGATATTTGAATAAACCATGTCCAGTGTGTTAGCTCCTCTGGTAGCACACTTTACATGCTGGTCGAGATTGGGGAGTACTTTCTTTAAATCTGCATGATTGAAGTCCCCTGCTAGGATGTGCACAACATCAGGATATCTGCTCTGCTGACTGCATGCCCGATAGCCGAGTTAGCATTAGCATCCGGCGGTATGCTACACATTTAAAGACCGCATTGTGCTCTCTTGCAAGGTGCATGTGCCTGCATTTGACAGTCACATACTCCAAGTGAGTGATTCACCTTCTACACACACATGTATGACTTTAGGCACTCACCTTTATTCTTTGTAAATGTCATATTTTGTTGACAATCTTAAATCCCTCTAGTTTAATTTAGTGCAGTGCACACAAGTAAAGCAGTGCAGAAATGTCAGTTTGGCAAATGATGATTATTTTTGTCTCTGTCTTCTTTCACCTGAAGGATCATTGTTCTTCAAAGTGTGGTGATTGCTGTCCAGACATTTCTATATGTAACCAGTGCTTTAGACTGGCTGAAATGTGTGACTGTCGGTTGCCAACCATGCACTCATGTTTGAGGGAGTCATGCACTTCTCCAGCTGTAAGTAATCCCCAAAACACTCTATTAAGAAAAGTTTTAGCACATGAACTCCAAATCATATTATGTATATTTGACATTTCTGTTGACAGTTTGCCAAAGTGCCATTAGTTTACTGTTTCCAGGTAAGCCAGCAGTTTTAATTAATTTCATTTTGCTCTGAAAATCATCTTAAAATAGAACTTTACTGTTCATCCAGGGCAGGACATTTCTGTTTGATCAGTGAAAACACTCTTCCCAGGTCATTTAGAAACACCCATCTCACCCTATAGTGTGAGCGGAGAATTCAAGCTTGTCAGCATCTCACAACCATGGTTTAAGTGCTGCTGCTGCTGCCTCTCAGAAATATTAAGAAGCCAACATAATTAGTCACCAGTTTATGTTATTGTATTTCAATATATCCAGTCATCCGACACAGCTGATACAATTTTGAGAAAAAAAAATCATGAACATCAGTGCTACTTGGCTCATCATAGAGAAGTATATAATACATATTTTTGACAGACACTTGTTTTTCTTTCGTTTTCCCACAGTGTGTCAAATGTGACTGTGCCTGCACCTGTCAGCCTCCAGAGTGTGACTCCTGCAACTGTCTATGCTTCGAGGTCAGGATCAGGTAGAAGATGAGGATGGAGGTGCACTAATTCCAGTCGGTCGATGAACTACAAGTATTTTTAGTGACTCTGAGTCCTTTTAGTTTTATCATGTTACAAGAGAGTTTACAATGGAATGATGACAGAGAACGAGGGAGGAGAGAGATGGAGAACCAGGGCTGGGTGCAGTTCCTGGCCTGTGTCTTAAACCAGGACCAACTGTGGCAGAGCATCAACAACCTGCTCTTGAACTCTTTTACCCTTTACCTTAAAAAATACTAATAATCACACTGTTATTGCCATCAGATGGCTGGCCCCTTTCTAATTAACAGAACTTAGTTTCTGCTTTTACATGTTAAAGGCTGAATCAAACCTGGCACCAGCAGGGTTTTTTTTGACTGTTGTATATCATATAATTCAAAGTATTCGGTAGACGTGAGCTGTATGGATAAAACTATCACAGTATGTAATTTTCTACCAAGATATCAATATATATTGTGATATTATCCTGAAACTTTGAGTTAATGTATAAAGGAACCAGAAAGGAAGTGTCTCTTTTCGATTAATCCAATAAATTAAACACCTGACAAATTAAAATACTTCATCATAGTGATGCAAAAATTCTATCAAAATTCAGTTTGACCGTAAAACAGTTCTTCTCAGTGAACAGCAACATTGCCCACAAAATGCAGAGATATTAAAGCATTAGATACATCAGTAACATAAGACACACCGTTTAAAATCTGAATAATGAGGAAATGCATGTTTCACTAATGTTGTCGGCAGGGTACAGTACTGTGAACTGTCTTCGTCATGAATTTGAAGCGCTGTACTGGATTCTTTGGTAGACTTTTGAAAAAGGCTTTTATATTTTGTGTTATTCCATATTCTTCTTCTTAAAATTCTATTTGTACAATGTATGCCCCCTGCTTTAATTGTTACATGTTCTGTTCCAGTGCTTTAACATAAAGGTCTCTCTCTCGGTTTCTCTCTGTCTCAGTAAAACACAACACACAAACAATACATTTTTCAGTGTATTTATTTAATTTTGTAGGTATTAATAAAAATCAGCTGAACTCTAATGCATTTCTAATGTGTTTTTCATGAATGAGAACAGCAGCACCTGTGTAATCGCAGCATGACAAGCCATGCTAGTGTTGTGATTTTATAGATGGAAATGTTAGTTGGTCAGGACTCATTTCATGTGAAACAAGGTTATTATGGCAACATCAGGAAAATGGTTCAGTGATTTCACATTAAAAGGAAGGTTTTATTCCATGGCGAAGTTGGATAATTGACAAATGATTATTTTGAGGCAAGTGCAAAATGTCTTTTTTTATGTAATGAATTGCACTCAGTGATTCCATTTCACATTCTTCTGTGAAAATGGATAAAATCATACCCATTAAGGAAAAATAACACAATATTTTCACAGATTATATTATTGTGCTGATTTTTAAATAATAAGAGCAGTCGTACAAATAATTATCTAGGTAGCATCGAAAAACTATGAAATTGTGGAATATGGGGCAACGTTTACATATATTTGTTCAGTGCAGATTTAAAAATTCTTATTTTACACTGCTTTTAAATTTTTAATTATTTTCCATTTGCACAGTCAGTAGTTGTTGCAATATCATTTCACTGCTGCTGTACCTGTACAGACAAATAAATTTTATGTTATCTTATCTTGACCTTATCTTGACTGTGTCTATATCACAAGTGGTCACCAACTGATAGATTAATTAATGCAGAAGTAATCCAATATTTTCTCTGAAAATCAAGGTGATTTACATTCATTTTTGCCTGTCACATCATGTAATTACTATTAATAATGAGGTTGGAGGTCTCTACATAAAGAGGTGGAGACACATGAAGAATAGAAGGAGATGGAAGAAGAAGGGGAAGTGAGCAGGGGCGCCCCCACGAGTGGTCAAGGTGGTGGTTAGATTGGTGGCTATGCTGGTGGTTATGTTGGTGGATTGGGTCGTTGTAGCTGAGGAAGTTGGAGACAAAAATGTCCCCAGTGTCTTAACCAGGAAGCTCTCAAAATGGTTCAGTTTGGTGAAGGTCATCATTGTAGCTGCTCGTGTTTGCCCAGTGGTGTTAGTGTCAGCAGTCAACACTGCTGCCTGGAACCAAGAGCCACCCAGCTTACACATCAATGGCCCACCAGAATCACCCTGAACAAACAACGAAGATGGAAAATGTTAAGTCCAGAATGTTTATGATTTTGTATTGACCCTGCTCTGATTCTGAAGTGCACATTCAGTCACTTCTTTTCATAAAACTACAGAAAATACTTTTTCAAAATATTATTTTTTCTTGGCTTCATTTAACCTGATATATAATCAATACTTTTATTCCTTAAAAATGATGTTTACTGACATAATTTATGCTGAAGATTTCTGATGGTAAAGTTACATATTCTTGCTTGAATGAACCAATGACGTGTCCTGTTGCACAAACATTTTTACATTTCATCCCCACTATTGATTAGTAGGTTTAAAGAAAGTGTTCATATTGTGCTGTTTAATGAATGCATCCTTCTAAAGTAATGTGTTTTTTTAAATATATATTCTAACATGTCTGAATCGTGTGATATTATTATAATTCAGAACAGGTACAAAATGGCTTTGCAATCTTAGGTCCCTATATTCTGAATGTTTAAAGATACACAAACATATTGGTAAAATACAAATACAATAACAATTGGATAATAATAATAGTAATAACAATAATCTCATTATTCACCTGCCCCAGTGTAAAAGATGTTGTACAAATACTGTCAGTTGTTGATGCATTGTCACAATTTACCACCGAGGTCTGAATCTCCTGCAGAACTTCTTCCACTATGTGGGAAAATAAGACAATGATGAGAAGTGGAACACCTGAATGATATTCAGATTGCACCTGCCTATTGAACTCTACTGTTTTATCTAAAGAAGTGAGTTAGCATTACTGAGTCAGACTGTGTATTAAGGACTCACCCCCTCCTTGTCCAGAGCTCCAGCCAGTAGCCCAGCATGTTGAGCCCACAGCGAAGGTTTGGCCGTTGTCCAGGCAGATGGGCTGGGTGAAGTTGGTCAAGGTGGGCCGAGCTTCCAGATGCAGCACTGCTACATTAGACCCAGTTAGGTTGCTCAGGGTGATATTAGTCACCTTTAGTGTCACCTCATTGGGGTTGGTGCCATTCTGTTTCAAATGGCCCAAGACCACAGTCCATTCAGATGCTATGGGGGAACTGTGGGAGAGAAAAGGAACTAAATTAGAACTAAGGAGATTTCCAAACTTCAAACTCTCTGATTGGATTGGACCTTATTAAACTATCTCTGCACAATAACAAATATAAGAAAAAATTAAAAGCAAACTACTTACTGAGAAATTTGCATCTAGTTTCATAACTAATTTGTTTCATAATACAGTAAATTAACAACATCATTCCAGGTGTCTCACCTTGAGAAGCAGTTTGCGTTGCTCAGTACAGAGTCCACAGCCACCAGAGTCCCACCACACACATGACGTCCTTTCCACTGTAGACTTGCCATCCACGGCCACACGCCAGCTGTCGCCACTGAGCTTCCTCCCAAGATACGAGTATTCAGTAGGGCTTGGCCACAGACCACAGCTGGAGATACAAGCAAAACAGTGAACAATGAAAGATTTTGTGTAGTGTTGGACAGGAAATAAAGTAACTGTGACAAACTCAGGTTGTTTAGAC